TTTGAAATAACTACTATTTATTTTCATCGTTTTTGTGAGCAAAGATCACACAAATACAAACTTAATATTTTCATCCAATTTTGTAATGCTGCTATATTCGATGTCGAGATGCATCGTTATGACATCACCCGTCATTTTGGAGATACATTGAACTTTTGATGTGCATACGGATGCAAAATATTGAATGCCAGAAATATTGATCTAACAATAAGAAAATCTTAAATGCTCTTCTATCATATTTGAGAAAAAATATAGGAATTACAGACAAATAATATTTCAGATGAAGAAATACCAAAAAATAAATAAAAACAAATGTAAATGGTATTGATGATTGTGAAAAAGGTTGGGTAATATAAGTAAAAAATACATTTCAGTCAGTTACAGTATAATATATGTTACACTATTATAGATTATATATATATAATAGATTAATTATTATATTCTAATAGTAATATATTGTTGATAAATGTGTCTCATTACATTTATACCGTTTAAGGTCGAAAATATCATCACGTTCATTGTGGTATTCTCATCAAGACCATCGAAGAGGAAGCTTGGCCTAATTAGGTCACATTTAACTTGCCCCACATCGTGAATTATGTTGTTCGTTTGGTTTTTATTAGTGTTTTGATGCACAAGCCCGCTTCTAATATTTTTCGTGGAAGAATTACGTTTGTTATTTTTTTATATCGTCAGTAACTGAACATTATTAACTCGAAAGAATATTTATTGACTTGTTTACTGTATTATTTATTATTTACACTGTAAAGTTGGCTATATTTTGTGTTTCTTGCTATATTTTGGCTATAAGTGCACACCAGAAATGTAAGTTTTTTTCTAAAACGGAATATTAGTCTTCATAATAAAAAAATAAAGCATTAGTTATGTTGTGTGAATTATTGTTATCAAGTTGTAATTGGTAAGTTCTTAATGTCTAGTTTATTTCTTTCAAATTTTATCTATTGCATTATTATCAAGATATTAAGTCTAATGTATGAGTAAATTCTCAGTTTCATACAAGTGTTGATGGAGTAATTTGATTACATAACTTCATTTAATGATTGTTATTATTATTATGAACTCTTACGGCTTATGTAAACATAGAATAAAATTTGATCAAACAAAGTAGAAAATAAAACATACATTTTGATTTATTACTGTTTGTACATAGTTAGTTGTTACTTCTTGTTGATTACCAACTTAGATTAAATAATTCATTATTGGTAAATATATAAATTAAATATTTTGTGAGAGATCAAATTCGGAGCCAAGGTATGTTTGTTACTTTTTATGCTATAGGAGATGCTGCGTAAGCGACTACCTAATACCTGCAAAATAAAAATTACAAGTGCATTGTCGTCTTTGATCCACCCCTTCCCCCAGAATTGAGCATTTGTAACCTCACTCTTACGGCGAAACACAACGAAAGAATTTCTCTTCTATGAGGCCGTGGCATTACTCCGGTTGAACCGGGCCTTATTGCCGAAGCATGGTTCTCTCACGGTTACTAAGGTGTTTAAACTGTTGACAGGCTACTATTACAGTGAAGTTAAGTTAATTGACTGAAATCGACCTGTGAGTGATATTACATACGCAGAATAATTATTAGAGAGGCGCTACAAGGACATTAGAGTGACACAGTATCATATGACGACAGAATAGCGTCACGGTCCAACTATTCATTCCGTTCACATGATCATTTTATGTATTCATTTCATATGCCCTACGACTCATAACTGAGAATTATCACAATCCTAGAGATTCTTTTATCCATGTATATTATGTGACCATTATGTGGTATTTATGAGGTACGTGTTGCAGCATTGTCTAATAACAACGATAAAAGGTTATAAATAACTTTCCTATAACAGATCAAATACTGATCTTGGTCACAGATTTTTTATAATGTTAAATGTTAGTATGACTTACAATATAATTTATAATGAACAACCTGCACTCTTCGATGTGGCACATTGTAATTACATTAAAAAGAAAAATAGTAGTTGTACGTATATCGTGTCAAACTTTGACCTTAATCGTTGTAGTATTTTTTATATTTTTGAAGCGTACACAAACCAACTGAACATATATATAACAACAACAACAGAACAAAATATTTAGCAAACGTGTGCACTTTGTGCCTATAAACAGAATATCTCCAATCCTCATATTCCTCCATTTCTTATCACTCTCATCCTTCTCATTATTACTCTTGTTTACCTAGATCGTTACATTCATATGTTTAGGTACATAGAGATTAACATAGCCCTATTAAGTGTTTTATTAACAAAACCTATACAAGTACGCTATACCGTTCAGTATCTCACTAGGTGAGATGATCTTGAGGCGAAAGGATCCGTATAAGGCCTCGAATTAATCCGGTACTTATAGCGTTGCCGCAGTTCTGTTCCCACGGTACCTCGTGATTGCCTCACCTACATTGTACTTATCTAATTATAGTTACATTGCATTTTGTGTAACATTAGTAACGAATTATCAGGCTTTAACTGATCATAAAGGTAATGGTAATTTGCAGGCAGTGGATTCAACCTCGAAGGTATTCCAAATAATGCGTGTTTTCCATTTGCACTTGCGTACTATGAAATAAACACGTTAGTCCAAACAATTATCTTAATCATAAACAATCATTAACACTTTAGTTGAATTTCAATTCAATAGTGGTTACCCTTCCGCTACCTTAGTTTGTTTAGTAAATTTGTTAGTTCAAACTCTTTATGAGTTAGGCGAAATCCCCCAGTGACAGGACGGATGGACGGGATCTCCTAAAATAACACAGTAAAAACATCAACATTACGGCTGTGTCGGAGATGTAAGCCGTTACTCAGAACTGTACATGCTTCACTTGCGTGGAATGCTTGCGGATCTCAGTTAGATCCTACTTTTCTATTGGTATCTATAACTCATCACGGGATTTAAATCATGTTTACTTTTTCTATGTCAATTATTATTTACAGAATAAATATTCAGAAGCTTTCAACGTTATGTCGTCGATTTGCATAACTACATTTCTCGAGGCCTAACTTTATGTCGCATATTTTTTGGCTCTGTATATGGCATTATGCAATATCGTCATCATTTAAAAAAAAAAAAATGACTCTTTCTTTACTATTTAATTAATTGTAGTAAGGGATATTCTGTTAAATATTTCATTCCTTCTAAAAGTGGAACATTAAGGGATGAAGAATTTACCTATTACATTTATTTTTACCTACGCATTTGAGTTGCTATTGTTAAGAAGAAAGTTATTCTAAAACGAAGTCCATAGCAGGTATATTACTTGATCACCATAATTAAAGAAGTAACACAAACTTCTAATAGATTATTTAATTTCTTATAATATTTTCTCTTGTTCTATTGAACACGTCTGTGACAGGAGTGGTAAATTTGACATTTTGCTCGGTGGTTCTACGGCCAATTACCTTTTTAAAATGCCTCTTGTATCTCATCTATTTATAATATTACAACTTCCATCATTTGAAACAAGCCTAAGATTCCACGTGATGTTGTTTGTTCAAACATCTCCAAAGTGCCCATGCAACTATTTAAAATTCCTCTTTACTGTCTGTTACGTAATTCTAATCTCTCCCAACTCCGATGCAAATGCATCGCATCAGATAAGCTCTTTGAACGTGTAGATATCAGACCCTTTATATGGATGAGATTTGTACAGATCGGTATATAAATATGTCATTATCAATAAGTCAGCAGCTGCTCTTTGTACTATAATAGTGAATGCGGGTGTTCACTCGACAACCGTTGTGATTTGAAAGCTTTGAATATTTATTTGTAAGTTTAGTTTAGATAAGGGATGTTATCGCACGTGGACTTCATGAGAATATAAGTTCTAATGGTCACTTTTGAGGATAATACTACCCTGTTTTAGTGTAAAATGAATATTTAACACTATTTATAGTGATAATAAGTTGTCAGTTATATCTGAAAAAAGTGTGAATGGTTGCAATATATGGTAGAATTCTGCTGCCAAATGAAGAAGGTATACTCGTACCATAGCAGATTTCTCCTCGTGTTTGAACTGACCTTATAGTAGAGATGTACGTCATCCATAAAAATACTTTATTATATCTTTCTATATTATTCAATTTTCTGCGGAATACTAATTTGCTACTAACATTATAAATTTACTAAAATAAGGATAATTACAAAACTGACGGCGTACGACTAATGACTAGTGGTGTTGATTGTTATCAGCACGTGGGATTAAAAAAACCCTTGGGCAAAGATGTTACAACACTTGTACTTACATGTCTTACATCAGATATTGCCATTAGTTTTTATGTAATTGCCATAGCACCTAAACATGGTTTTAATAGGTACTTAATTGCTTAGTAAAGGTATTTTTCGTGTCATTTCTTTAGGATTTGCATACATATCTTGAAAAGTTCTATTCTGTATGCAAATGGTAAGGTAATGTCAGCTACTTCCTTTATTTAATTGCTTAAAATTAGCGTACATTATGTTATGTTAAAAAACTAGTTGTGTACGCTTTCGTACTAGTGAGATTATCTATTGAGACTCAATATAAATGAAATATAAATCTGTTGTGCATTTTAAGAAGTAAAGACTTATCAATTAAGTATTCTTAGCATTAGGCATTCTAGCTAAGCATGACTTTTTACAAACTTTGATTAATTTTTCACGATTGAAATCATTGATTTCATATAGTAGGTGTCATATGCTTTAGTAGTCGTCACTATTTATATTTTTATTATTAAGCTAACTCTGCGTATAAAGTTATTTTACAGGAAGACTGCATGCCAATGCAAGGAAATTATAATAAAAGGAGTATAAGAATATAAGTACGAGAATCTATAAGTTCTATAACTAAAGAGTAAAAATGGGAACAAACAGTTGTTAGCTAAAACAATGTAAGGAGAAATTTAATAACCTTCGTCATAAACTATAAGAACTTTTACTAGAAATAATGAACAGAGACTAATTTTATGTATTTTGCTTGACAGGCCAATAATAATGGTGAATACTCATCGCGAAGCTTGCCTCGAGTGAGGTTAGACAACGGAACTAACGTTGGCAATGCTGGTGTAAGACTCCGATGTTGGGCCGCACCTCCTTCAATCACTGAGGAAGAAGTTGAAGATGAAATCGAAGAAGACGCGGTGTCATTACGAGCGACTCCTGCACAAGGTATGTAGAGAGTGATAATTTACCGCCATCTATTTCGCGTATAAGTAAACTGTAAAACTTTTTAGTTCGACTACTCGACGCTAGAGAGTGCTGTACGAGATGATTTGTCACTGTATACACTAGATGGCGTTAGGAATATTAGTAGAGACAAACTTACTATAATAAGACTACTAGTTTAGTTTAACTTCAGTTAAAATTTATTCCTACATCTAAACTATCCTGTTACCTAGAATATTCACAAAAACTACTTAGTATCGCAGATTCAAATTTTAGAAGGTAGAAAGGTTTTCTTAGGCCATGAATCATTTCCAACAAGTTTCACTTCATCGTTAGTAAGCATTAACTTGACATCTTGTTGTTTTAATTCAATGTCTTGTGACGTATAGATTCATTGCACTGCGCCAGCAGAAGGGCGCGAACCGTGACGCGCCCGCGCGCACCCGTCGCCAATTGATTCTGACTAAAGTTTCACGCCCCTGCTGCATACTCTGACTATCGCGTCTAATATTAGTGGCCTATTATTTTCTTTAACGAATTCCTTATCTTTGTTAGGTTGTGAAACAACCATCTACAATTATTCCCGGTGTAACTCAACTTTTTGAGTGGTACGAGTAGTCATATATATTTTTTTTGTTTGAACGTCGAGGCTGTGCTTTAACTACTGATGGTCATTTACTGTTACCTGCATAACAAAATTAATTCTTTATTACGTTAATGTGTTGTAAAATAAGCTTGTCATGAAGTCCACTTTTTGTGTTTAAGCCTGGCTTTAACAAAAAATTGTTTTAAATGCTCTTGTTCCGTTTCATCACTTACTATATTAAACCGACTCACGATTTAAGTGGTTTCAAAATTTTCGTCTGCTATCAAAGCCACTTGACAAATAGTGCACGTTATTTACGAGTTGTATAATGTTTTTATTCGAGCTCATACTATCGCATATATCGCAATTCGATACGCTGTGCAGTGTTCCTTTGCCCCCGTCTGTCGCAATCGAGCTAAAATGGACACAATTAGGGCCCGGCCGTTTTTAATTGACATGACTCCCTCAGTCCCTCGGCTCATGTGCAGCCTATCACAATGAGTGTTTGACTTGAAACGAAAATACTTGGATTTTAGGTTTTACCCTTATACCTCAAGGTATTGTTGGCGTTTAATTAGCTATTAATGGGTCGGGCGTCATCGGTAGATGAAATCATCACTTCTTCGTAAATTTTATATTAATACATGAATAAAGTTCTTTGAGCGGTTTATAAACAGAGTTTGTGCGTTTATAAATATGAAATAGAGAATATTTAAAGTAGTTAAGTTTATTGTAATTAATATATGTAAATGTTATAATATTGTGCGAAAAGGCCTATAGGAAGTTACAGAATATGTTCGTCACGTATTAAAAGTCTATACAATGACAGGTCTAATAATATTTAGTCATCAATAGTGTTAAACGAAACATTTAAAATGTTATAAATTGTAGCGATCTCTAATATGCATAATGATTTTGTCATAATGTTTTTTGTAACAATATTTGATGGTAAACTCGCATAAATCTATCTATTGAAAAGGTCAAAGTTATTAAAATTATAATTTGTTATTTGAACATAATAATATAACTTCGATATTATAAGTATAGATAGATTATCTATGTTTAAAAATGTTACAGCAGTATATTATTTATAATGCGGCTGCACTATTAGTTTTGTTACGTCTAAATTTGTACATAAATGGAGCTTCCTTTAACCATATTAGAATTTATAAACAATAAGTGTGTTAACGGGGCGGTGAATGATATCTACATTAACTGTATATGGAGATGTGAAATAACGACAAATTCATTTAAAGGAGTGACGGTCTACTTAAAATGTAAGCCAAGATTATTTAGGCGAAGTAACACTTTTTATCACTGTCTTGACCTTTTATTTTATTAAAACTTAGGGCGGATTCAATTTTGTTAGTTTATTTCTTACTAGCTTTTGCACGCGGCTCCGTCCGCGAGTACGTCGGTTATCGCGGTAGCCTATGTTACTAGCTGATAATGTAGCTTTCCATTGGTGAAAGAAATTTTCAAATCGGTTTAGTGGTTTAGTCGAGAAAGCGTAACAAACATACAATATTTTTAATATAAGTATGGATTTACTTTTTTAACTAAAAATTTTTAAGTTTCTCAGACTTTTTTTTACCATAAATTTACATACTGCATTATGTATATATATTCTGCGAATCCTTTAAATATATCGTCTCTTAGTTTGCTGACTTGTACCTATTTAGTTTCAGAAGTTCCATCAATTGCTTTATAAATATATGAGTATCAAAGTTATTATAAGCAATTAGCAGTAATTTGCTTTGCTTAATTGCAGTGTACAAATATATGTTAAATGTAAAATGAAAACTTTCGTATTTAGGTTAGGAAAACATTAAAAAAAATAACATGTGTTTAACCTGTCGCTTTCGACACAGGACTGTGTCAGTAAAAGAGTGCGGGGTCGATTGACGACTCTGAAATAGCGGTCGCGAGAGAGCTTTACTAAAAAGATTTTCTAATTTAGTTCTGAACTTTACTTTTTTTACTCTCACTCACCAATATTTTGGGTGGCTTGGAAAAATAACCTCATCAACCCGAGGCACTTTAACGTTGAAGCGATTGATCATTTTGTAATTTGTTACCGTTTTAGGAGACTTCCTGATTAAGGACGGTTAGTTTTCACATCATTTCATATCATTATTTCAATATACAAACACCCCTCAAAGTGATCCCGATATAATTACCCTTACAAAAATTTACAAAGTGAAAAACATTAGGTAGGTATTGCGTCGTTCCAATTTGTTTCATGATGCATTTTCTTTCCCTAGTGAGAACTGCGTATAAAATAGGAGTGAAAACTAAAAGCACTATTCGTTACGTTTAATGTGTGAAATAGTACGTTTCAGTATGTAAAGAAAGTAAAAAAAAAAACGTAATTAAAGTGAGATTAAGAATGTATGTTTTGTAGAATTCGTACTGTGGGATGCTCGTACAATAGAAACGTTTCGCCTAAAACTCGTGTGTATACCACGCTTAAACTTTTTAATTGTCAACGAATGGAAAATGAATTGCAGTTGTGATAGTAGTAGCACCCCTACTTTTCTCTGACTCAAAGCCAAAGCCGTTGGCAGTCGACAGACGCGAGGCGCGTACGACGCGTCCACGCCAATGCGCCAGTGTGCGACGCCGCTTCCGACCCGCCACACTTCGGCACTGATCGGATTCGCGTTTTGAATTTTCTCAGATACTTCGTGATTTTCTTTTGTTATTTTCTCTATGCACACGTTGCTTTTTATTTTAAAAGTATAGTTTAGTGCATAAAACCTCTTCAAGTTTCAATTCAGTGTTGTGGTACGATTGTGTTATGTTTGATTGTGATTCGATCAGCTGTTTTGGGATAAACTCGTCATAAGGTTTCTGTTGTTTGTGAGTAAACGCATAAGCCATAGTATTGAAACCATTCTTACTACCTATTATATATGAAAAATAGTAAATGTGTCTCAATTCGCTATCGTTACAAATAAACTTTGTTCATGACTAAGTATACAAACATTAAACAAACGGATATTTTACTAACTGACGACGAAACACAAATGCATAGTGACAGATATAAATTGTTACTACAAGCTCATTGATAAAAACAATAACATTGGCGCTATTTATTATTTTATTATTCTCCATTAATGGATCATTTCAATGGGACCGATCGTTTATTATTTACTCCTCTGACAACACATCGTAAACATGAGTGTGGGATAATTAAAAAGTAAATACTCTCTGTCTACGAGAACTAATTTAGATATTTGATTCCCATTATATTGTTTAAAACTTATCAAAACCAATGACGACTTTTCATTATGAGTAATAGAGAAAACTGTTAAATAATTATTCAATCAATATGCGTTTTCAGTGTACTAAAAATTTAAATCCGTAAAAATGTACTTAAAATACGACCGATGCGTGGTTTCTGCACAGGAAAGAAAAAAAAAGTATGCTTAAAATTACGATATAAAGTGACGATACTAAAAATTAAAAAACCAATAAAAAGGGCAATCTATCATAAGTACCTACTTACCCATAATAAGATTCTGTGCGTAGGCGTCCCTCACTGTATTCACAAAGTTTGCCTTGTGTTAATTGAATATTGACAAGTATCGTTTATACTCGTATAAATATACTTAAGCCAATCTTAAATTCTGACTTTGTATGCGGAAACATAATTATGCGCTTAAGCTGTATATCGCACAGCATAAAATTGCATCTTACTCGCCCAGACGTGAAGATACTTACTCTGTGTAATAAATATAAATATTATGTTACATACGTAATTAAACTTCAGATCACAGATTATATTCATTATACACTCAGTTATATAAGACTAAATAGTTTTATTCCTATAAGATTTTTAATACAAAACATACATTGGATTAACAACGACATCTAAACGTATTGTTTTTATAATACGATAGTTTATAAACAAAATTGTAATCTGATTTCGTCATTTGTTGTTTGTATTATCATAACGCAGCCATTGTAACCCAAAAGTAAGTAAGAAAGTAACGTAACGTGCTGCAATCAAAGTTATCAAACTTTCTTTTGTGATTATACCTACTCGTATTTATATTATACTAGCTGACGCTCGCAACTTCCTCGGCGTCTCGCAAAAAGATTAAATTTTCTTGTACATTATTATATTAATAATCTAATATTTTCCGCATATTTGTAACATTAGTCATTGGTGCTCCTATTCTATTGGCCGTAGCGTGATGTTGCCAATATCCTTCCTCCATAAATGGGCTGTCCTGTTCCTGAGATTAGCGCGTTTAACCAAACAAACACACTTTTCAGCTTTATTATATTAGCATAGGTCTGTACCCTCGGCTTCGCCCTTGTTTACCTATTGCACCGGCAGTACGAAGCAATACGAAGCGTCAGTAGCCTAGTGATCTGCGTGAGTGACTTGCGATCAAGAGGTCGTGGGTCCGAATCCTGACCAGTACTCTACCGACGTGAACCCACTCCTAACACAAGCAATTTAGCTAAGCCCGAGGGGTTAGCGGGCATACTAGTAATTTCGGTTGCTAGTAAACCTTAAAAAAACCGGTTTAGTATTCTCAGTTTATCGCCTACGAGCAAAAAACCCTTTTTTTTTTCGTGCGGGAATCCCCTCGGATACCACCTATCGGTAGCATGTCGGACCCGAACCGACTAAAACGCACGCCGTCTCGGGTACTAATAGCCGGGGAACCAGGTATACCCTAGAAAGGAAGTCCCTGGTGCCCCGACATACCTCAGGCCATCTACAGACGAGTAGACGACCCCCCCCCCGTGTGGGAACCCCATGTTCCCTCTGCTCCCTGGAAGCGAGCGCGCTTCGCAACGCGCTCGCCGCCACCCCGGCCTGCTTCTGGTAGGGTGACAGATGGCCTCACCTG